GGTGGCATTCATTATTGAGGATGCTACTTAGCATCACCTTTATAAATACCTTCGTTCTTTGCCTCCTCAGTGTCTTATAAATTCTACTGACTAATCTGACAGTTTAAACAGTCATAGATCAGCTGGTGTTTTGACAAAATTACCATGAACAGAGATCAGAGAACACCAAAAAAAAAAAAAGTTTTTTTTACAGACTTTTTTTCACATAGAATGCCTTCCCACTGTTAGTTGAAATGAACACACTTTTAAAGAAAATAGAATAGGTGAAAATATTTTTATATTTCTTGTGTAACCATGCAGAGGTACAGAAAAAGTTATAAAAGGAGGTATGGTTTCCATGCTGTAAGATTTGGAAAGGCTAAAAATATATAAAGGAGAAAACCCATCAAAGTCATATGATGCCATTAGACACAAATTAAAATAGAACCTAAGAAGACATTAATAATGTAGAATATTTTTTAATGTGACATAGCAGATGGGTTTACAGGAGGGGTCAATGAATTGTAGCCCAGAGCTAAATCCAGTCCACTGCTGCTGAGCCCTGACTGAGAGGACCGTAGAAACAATGTAAAAGAATGGAAGGCAATTACAATTACGTGAAGCACACTGCAGGAAAAAAAATCACGCACACGCAGTTCTCGTAGAAATGCTACATTCCCTATCTGGCAAATGTCAAAGGTAAGCATCTGTGAAGATAATACTAACATTATAATCACTTTATCAATTTGGAAAGCCTGTGCCAATCAGGCAAATTTTATCCTAAAGAAACAAGCCTGATCAAAAATCTAGTGAGCCATGCTTCCAAGTAGGAGCATGGCAGCAGCTGAGAACTGAATCGCCACATATGCTACCCAAATATCTCAGAGAACAGCAGAATGACTGGAAACCGCCATGATCTACACTTTCAGCAAACTTAAAGACAAATAAAACTCATACACACCGAACAGCACACTGCGGACCGGCTGAGAAACAACTTGAGGCCACTGATGAATGAAAGGGTAAAGAAAATGTGAGCTATACACACACACACACACACACACGGAAATATTATTCATCCCCCAAAAAGAATGAAATCCTGCCACTTTTGACAACATGGATGAACTTTGAAGGCACTATGCTAAGTGAAATAAGTCAGACAGAGAAAAGACAAATACCGTATGATCTCACTTACATGAGAAATCTTTAAACAACCAAAAGCTCACCGATACAGAGAACAGACTGGTGGGTGCCAGAGGGGAGGGGAGGCGATGAAATGGTGAAAGAGTCAAAAAATACGAACTTCCAGTTACAAAATAAGTAAGTCATGGGGATGTAATGTATATGGTGACTATAGTTAATAATACTGTAGTGCATGTATGAAAGTTGCTAAGAGAGTAAGACAGTCCTCAAAGTTCTCACTCATCACAACAGCAACAACAAAATTCTGTAACTGTGTATGGTGACAGATGTTGACTAGGCTTATTTTTTAATATATTCAAATATCGAATCCTTATGTTGTACACATGAAACTAACAGAATGTTGTCAATTATACCTCAATTTTTTTAAATCTTAAAAAACAAAGTAAAAAGAAATGAAGTCTGTGTCCCCAACCATTAAGTCTTGGCTGGTCCTGTGCTAGAAGTGAGGCTGGGTGAGTTCCAGGGTTGCTTAGGAGGACTTCAGACTCTGCCTTTGCCCTGTTGGCAGTCTTCATGAGCTGCCCTGAGGCTGCCATGCTAAGAAGCTGATCTCCCACACTGGAGGATGAGAGCCATGTGGAGGAGAAAAGTGATGCCCAGCCAACAGCCCACACCAACCATCAGACACGAGAGTGAAACCATCTTGGCTCTTCAAGCACAGCCAGCTCTCCAGCTGACCACCACATGGGCGAGTCCAGGCTAAATCAGCAGAGATCTGTCCAAGAAACCTACAGAATCACGGGAAAATAACTCACTGTTTGGCAATTAAATTTTAGACGGTTTTTTACCCAGCAATAAATAACTTGTACCACTGAATATTATGAAATGAAAATGTGTCAACTAGAAAAGGTAGACATCATTAATTGAAAAAAAGTCTGGCTACAAATTATATGTCTTATCATCTTGATAAAACATCCATGCAGACACAAACACAAAAAATCCAGATGGACAGACACTAATTAATAACAGAGGGAAATACAAATAAAGTAAACTGGGGAGTGAACACAGGTTTTTCTTATTTTGTTTTTTTTGTATCTTCTATATGCATATAGATGCTTTTGTAGAAATAAAATAGTATTTAAAAAATATAATTTTTATAAAGGCCTATAGTATATCTATTCATCAGGCAAAAAGATCAGCTGGGTCCCTGAAGGGCTCAGTATATAAATTCTCGCTATTAACCTCCAATAGTATATAAACCTACATAAGGTCAGTTAATCAATAAACCTCTAGAGACAGTTATAGGTGAACTGTGTCCCCTTCTCCCCCAAATTCATATGTTGAAGCCCTAACTGCCAGCACCTCAGAGTGTGGATGTATTTAGAGACCACAGAGGTAATTAAGCCCGGCCGGGCGTGGCTCAGCGGTTGAGCGTTGACCTAGGATCCAGGCAATCGGGGTTCGATGCCCGGTCAGGGCACATGCCTGGGTTGCGGGCTCGATCCCCAGTCGGGGGGTGTGCAGGAGGCAGCCGATCAATGACTTTCTCATCATTGATGTTTCTCTCTCTCTCTCCCTCTCCTTTCCTCTCTCTGAAATCAATATATTTTTTTTTTTTTTAAAAAGAGGTAATTAAGTTATTAAAATGAGGCCCTTAGGGTAGGCTCTAATCCCATCTGACTTGTATCCTCATAAGAGGAACTCTGAACACAAAAAGCAACACCAGGGGTCTGTGTGCATAAAAGAACCACCATTGAAAAGGCAGCAAGAGGATGGCCATCTGCGAGTCAAGGAGAAAAGCCTGGAAACAGATCCTTTCCTTGTGGTCACCCCAAAAATTCAATAAGAAAGAAATTACATTAAATAATCTATGTGGGGAGGAGGTAGAAGGAACGTTTTCTGGATGTGCCGCCTTACTCATGATGGAACAAGTATGTCTAGTTCACATTCTACTCTTCAGCTGGCCCAAGAAATGGGTTTCCTTGTTTTGTTCCGTATTTGTTTATTTATGGGCCACTGGCAAAGAACAAATAATGGAGAACCAACAGCGAAAAAGCAACATTATTAAGGACTATTGTTTTTAGTCAAATAGAAACTATTTCACACATATACTTTTAAATTCAAAACATTTTTTACAAAAACTACACTATTTTCAATAAACAAACAAAAATTGAGCGCAGTTACAGTAAGAGAACAGAGAGAAAGAGAGAGAAGCCATGGCGCGGTGGTAGAGTCCAAGAGTTTGGGTTCTCACTGCTTCTGGCTCAGACTAGCTGTATGATATTAGTCTCGTGGTTTAACTTTTATGAGCTAATTTACTGTAAATATTATAAAGGGAGAAACCTGAACAGGATCATTTCTCAACCAGCCCTCGTGAACTCCCTAGGGCTTCCTTGGAAATTCTGGGAGGGTGAGAAACAGAAATAAGCTGGCAGGGCTTGGTGCCCTTGAGCAGAGACTGGAGCAGAGCTAGTCAGTTCTATTTGTTTTCCAATTGAATGATCGTGTTTTCAGTTGAGGGAAGAATTCTGCTGCTAAAAATGTTTGAAACCATTGTATTAAAATGTTCTGTCCCCTAGAGCCTAAAATTCTGAACATCATATTTAAAAATCAGTAAATAACATAGCTGAGTAGACACACACAGGATGCAGAATGAAGGGTCACATGATAATTACTTGCTGGAACAATAGGCAGAGAGCATTAGCGGGGACTCAGCACAGGAGACTGCAGCTTATATGTATGAAAGATTTAGAATTGTTAGTAAATGGCAGGCATTGCAAAATGAACCTGAAGTATAACCTCATGACTCAAAAAATGAATGAATGCAACTTTAGGCATCATTAATAAGAGCATAATTTCCAAAATGAGAGCATTCAATAAAATTGCTGAATATATATATTTAAAAACCTACTTGTACTACCAATAATCAAAGAATACAGGCAGCGCTGTTTGGCAAACTTTGATATGATTCAGAGCGGAGTTCCAATCTTTATTCTCAAGCTTACACAACATATGTAACATCAAAAAGTGCAGGTCCCACAGCACAAATGAGGGGATGTGGGCAGTGTTTTTGCGAGGGGTGGTGATGCTATGGATAGTACCCAGCATAGCACTGGCACACAGTAGGCATCAAGAACAGCTAATGCTTACAGAGCACTGTGTGAATTCTGTCTCGTCTCATTGCCAGAAGAGTTTAAAAATAGGGGATCATAATACATAAATGCAAATGATCACAAGAATGGCACTAAAACTGTAATGGATGAAATTTCAATGGTGGCAGAGTCTAGCACTAGAAGCACTGCCATTTACGTCCAGTGGGAACAGAAAAGGGCACAACTTTTCGGCAAAGCAATCCAGTATTATGTGCAGAGGACACTGCCAACATCCATATACAATGGTCCCAAGGTCTACTAGGGAAAGGAAAGGATTCAGAAAGTGCCAGTGGGTAGAAATGGGAGTGATCAAAGGGGTGACTGGGTATCTCCATTATAGGCAGGGCTTTTCTTTCCATTTTATTTTTCCCAATTACTGATTTCCATGAATATCCCTTTGTAGGCCCAAATGAGTGCATTTCTGGGAAGTCCTGAAGCAGACACTGTAGTCCACTTCTACTTAGCTCCTCACATTTGAATGGAAGCTCACTGTCCACCTCCCAGGGATGCAGGTGCTTCATGTGTCTCTTAAGGTTAATAAAGGAGTGCTAAATAGCAGTGAAATTCCTGCAATTCATGTTCACAGAAATGCCACCAGAAAGAAAAAAATGAAAGTTAAAATACTCATTTCTTCTAAGTTTGAAATGTGTTACCTTGTGATTGCATTACAACTCAAGGTCCCCCCCCCCAAATGTTTCTGTAACAAGTCTGATGACAACTGACACGTACCTAAAATGAGATGAAGTTTAGTTTCTGTCTGGAAGGCATAGTGCAACGTCACCAAAAACGGCGACTGCCTGATGTGCTCCAGGACCTGTCGCTCCGTCCGTGTGTGCTCTGTAGTTTTGGCTTTTTGAACAATCGTTGCCTTTTTCAAAACCTTCATGGCATACAGCTTTCCAGTATCATGGCCACTTATTTTACGAACTAGAAATACTTTTCCATAAGCTGAAAAAAAAAAAAAGAATTAAAATGCTACACAGGCAGAATGGTAATTTATTGGAAGTTGAAAGTTACAATGCACACAAAAAACACCCTCTTTGAATGAAAAAGTATCCCTAGTGCTGTTTCAAATAGTTCTTTGATAGATTTCTTCAATTTTATGCCAAACATGTTTCTAAATCTAATCCTCAGTATTTACATATCTAACCGCTGCTGCAAAGTTATGCTTTCACTCTTACTGTTACTCTCTCCTCAATATTTTTAGCTCTCGGAAACCAGCTGTTATTATGGTCAATTAGCCACAATCCAATTCTGGAACAACTAGGACATTTTAGACATCAGATAAAACCTCTAGGTTTTGCTACCGATGTAAATGAATAGAAACAGTTCTTAATGAGAATCTCATACACATACATAAATCAAGTATCTCAAGTACCTCTCTACACTTATGTAAAAAGTCTAAATCAATATAAGCTGACATTATATAAACAAAAGAGATCTTCAGATTTAAAACAAAACATTAAAAGATCTTAAATGGCAAGCAATACTGACAGAAACCCCTCTACATCCCAGGGCAGTAATTCAAGGCTTACTAGGTCAATCTCGACACATTCTCCCTAGGGGCTCAGTTGGGCAAACCCTGTGTATGTGCCACTCCCCTACGTGAGGAACTGGGACCTATGGCACTGTGCCCCTCGGGCAGAGCAGGTATCTGCATTTGCTTAGAGAAGGGGGGAGAGGGCAGGAAGTGGTGGGAGGAGGGAGGGTGGGTAAAAACACCCTGCAAGGGAAGGGGTAGGTCCCCAGTTCATGCCTGCAAGGTAAAACAAATTCTCTTCCCTTTAAAGTGCAGACACCACCTATTTAGTGCAGATGAGGGGAGCAACAATCACAGAGTTTGGGCCAGCTGCAGCTGCGCAGTCGCATTTCCCTCCAGCCCTAGAGCCTGCAGACCAATCTGTCTCGGTGCCCGGCTGTTAGGTTGGTGGGCTCGCAGCCTTTTGGCAGCAGCAGCAGCAGTGACGCGAGGGCGCCTGGCTGCCGGGGTTCCTGGGAATCCAGCTCCGCCACGCTGTGATCGGCCTGTCCGCTGTGGTGGGAAAGCAGGTATGGGAACCTGCAATGCGCTGGCAGGACCCAGATCCCGAGGGCAAAAACCTCTATGAGAGGAACCCAGACTCCATGGCCGCAGGGACCCTGCTGTGGATGGAACATGCGGGTTGTCGTCTTCTGTGGCTCCTCCACTGTCTTGGTCTTTGGCAGCACCTTTGTGGCATATCTGCCTAACTACAGGGTGTACGAGTGGGCCCGCTGGGAAGCTGAAAGGCTTGTAAAATACCGAGAGGCCAATGGCCTTCCCATCATGGAATCAACTGCTTTGACCCCAGCAAGATCCAGCTGCCAGATGAGGGCTGAATGGATGCCCAGTGGGGCTCAAGAAGCACCACCTTCTTCCCCTCCCCCCATCTCAGTTCTGCCCTCTTCTCACAGCACCTTATTAAAGGGACTGAAAATGTGAAAAAAAAAAAAAAATGCAAACACTGCCTGAGATGGTTAAGCCAAGTACTGCTTTTGAAGTTAAACCCTTTCAAATCATCTGGAGTCAGAGTTCTGACCCAGACCTGGGCTTCCACACTCTGCCCACTGAGCACATAATTCTGGTCTAACCCACCCACTAGAATAAGAGAGCTTTACAGGAAGGGCTTTCATACCCTGTAAGTTATTCAGTTCAGTGCTTCAGGAAGTAAATTAGTACAGACGCGTGGTGTGGAATGATCAGTGAATGACTGTGACACTCCTAGGAAGGAGGAAACCAGCACTTCTTAAGGACTTGTTATGCCGGGCTCTGTGCCAAACATATTCCACAGATTGATTCACTTGATCCTCAGAACGGCCAATGTTGTACTTTCAGTAATGCCATTTTACAGATGACATAAGTAAGGAACTGGCCCAAAGACTTGGATAAGAAGGTAAAGCGACTAAGCCTCATGCTTCAGCAGGACTCTAATTTCTTTATCAACAAGCAGCGGCTTCCAATACTCTATCAGCAGTCTTCACAGAAGTCTTGTACATCAATTTCATCAGAGCCAGGACCTTTAAGAGATACTCTGTCAGGAAATGTGAGCAGAAGAGGGCACAGAGCTCAGTTTTCCAGAGGACTGGCCTTGTAGCACTCGACTGAACTTGAGGTAGAAGTCCTACTTACTTTGAGATTGAGGGAAAGTAAATTCTAAGAATAAAAGACAGGGATTAATTCCTGATTTAGCCTGACAGGCATCTGTGACCATATGAAGGAGGTAAGTCTTTCAGCTCTAGGCCCTACAGACAGTGTTTTCGATTCTGCCGAAAACCTGTGTCTCTCCCCTGGCCAAGCAGCCATTCTGAAGAGAGAACTGAATCAAGATAGCCACGCAAACTTTCCAGAGCTGCAGGAAGATTTCCACAGGCTGGAGGAAAACTGCGGCTAGCTCATGAAGGTTACTTCTGTCCAAGCTGAAATGTGGATTTATAATTCTCCTCTACCTGAGATAGCACAATGCTGACAAACCTTGCTGACAATGATGTCAACGGCTGGACGACACAGGAAATAACAGAAAGTGAACTCAACAGTGTCAGGGGAAGATGTCTAGGTCCTTGCAGCAGGTGTCAGTTTGCTTCTCCAAATGTCAACTCATACTCCACCACAATCATCACTGTGTATCAGGTTTTTAGCACTTGTTGTTATAAAGAAAAGTTAAAACTGACTGGCAGTTTTAAAACAAGATGACATTCGTGCTGCCTGCCATGTCAAAAGCCGCTGAATAATTCCAAGCTACTTTTTCAGGCTAAACAAAAGCAGCCTTCTTGCTGAAATTTACTTTGAGCATAATTAAACTAATCTTCATTTTGTCAAATTTGAATTCATTAAAAATTTTTAGGAAGTAGCCTTTAATCTTTGTATTACAATGATGAGATTAATTTGTTAAAAATATTTTTATAGCCTGACCAGCATGACTCAGCGGTTGAGCATCGACCTATGTATGATCCAGGAGACTGAGGTTCAATTCCCAGTCGGGGCACATGCCCGGGCTGTGGGCTTGATCCCCAGCAGGGGTTGTGCAGGAGGCAGCTGATCAATGACTCTCTCACCATTGATGTTTCTATTTCTTCTTCTCCCTTTCCCTTCCCCTCTCTGAAATCAATAAAAACATATTTAAAAAAAAATAGTTTTATAGTCTGTAAAAGCAAGCAATTTACAAGGCCATAAATTAAATGCATGCAAAATTTGTATATATTTACGTGCATTATTTTGGAGGAAAGGGCTAAGCACCATTGTTCTAAAAGGCCTCTGGTTTATTTCCTTCATTATAGGCTCACCTAGAGCATGCTGCTCTCACTGGGATCTGAATGGCTTGGCCACTAGGAGATCATTTCTTTCTGTCACTCAAACTTTTATTAATGCTGCTAAACACTGTATATGCTGTACAAACTGCCTACAGGCCAGACAGAACTTGTAGCATAAACTACTGTACTTGAACTACTGCTTTAAAAAAACACAAAAGGCAGAAACTCTCTTAGTGACTTCCACTTAGACAACTCCCAGGACTAACTGATCCTCCCCCCCCTTTCCCTCTGTAAAACGCACCTCCACACACTGAACGCCTCTACCTAGCTCACCGTACACTTCTGTCCCGTGCGGTGCAGCCACCTGCTTCACATCAGTCACTGATACTCACTGCCCTACCTGTTTATTATTATTATAATTTAACTAAATATTACTTAACCACTGAGGCGTAAATGTGAAAGCAGAGAAAAATGAGGTTGAATGCTTTGGAAGAATTAGATGAAAGCAAGACACTTCAAAAGAAGTGCTGAAAATTTAGGTGTGGGTGAAACAACTATAAAAGGCTAGGAGGGAAAATTATGAAAATCTAAAAGGTTTTGTACTCAGATTACTTCAAATGTGTCCGGTTCTCACTCCACTTTAAAGAATCCGAAACTTAACTTTAGATGATGCATTAAGAGTGTGGTTTATGCAAAATAAATCATTGTTTAAGAACCTAGTCTCAAACAAGGAGTATTGTGCCTACCTCCAAAGACTGGCAAGTGAATATGCATTTATACATTTTAGGTGAAAAGTAGTATAATCAAAAAGTATATATTTATATATATATCCTTTTAAAATAATTTTCCATTTTAACTGGAGTGGCTCAGTTGGCTGAGCGTTGTCCTGTGCACCGAAAGGTTGCCAGTTCAATTCCTGCTCAGGGCACATTCCTGGGTTGCAGATTCAGTCCTGGGCAGGGCACGTATGATGTTTCTCTCACATTGATGTTGCTCTCTCTCCCTTCTTCTCTCTAAGCATGTCCTCGGGTGAGGATTAAAAGCAATAATAATAATTAAAAAAAAAAAAAGCCTTACAGCTCCTAACACTTGATTTCCTATTGCTCTTAAAAAGAATCCCTAATATAGCCTAGAGTAGCTGGCTTCCACCTCCCTCTCTCCACCTTCTCACCATCTCATTTAGCTAACTCCTTCAGCCATCCAGCCTTTCCCTTCTGCCCAGACTAGTACAAGTCCTCTAATTTTATTCTCTCATACCACCATGCATTCTCTGTCACAGAAATGAGCAGAAATATTAATTTTCATGTAAATTTGTGATTGCCTCATTATCTAACTTCCACTGGACTGTAAATTCCACAAAATTATGGACTTGTCTGATTTCACTCACTTTGTATCATTAGCAAGTAACTCTGAAGCTTGCATATTGTGGAAACTCAGATAATGTTGAATGAGTGAAAAAAATGAACAATCTAACAAAAAGGAAAAGACCAAAGAAACAGCTCTATAAGTATAGCCAAATACCCTCTTCTCAGCTGATAATTTTGATACAAGGTTGAAAAAACTAGCAATGCAGATCCACAGCACAGAGCTACTGCTTGCCAATTCTTTCCTTTTAGGGAAGGGACAATGAGCTCTCATGAAGTAATGCCTCTTAACTCGTGCATTAAATATGATCCCTGGCA